ATCTCACTCACTCTTTTATGTTTATCTAAAGAGAGAGAAACACACACACACACACACACACACACACACACACACAGAGAGAGAGAGAGAGAGAGAGAGAGAAAGAGAGAGATAAAGAAAGTGAGAAAGCAAGCCACCAGGTTCGGGACTTGAACCATGGACAAACACGCGGAAGTGTCCAGCGCCTTAACCACCATAGCAGTTGTTGGTCCCCACAGATCACATCTTAGATCTGAAAAGGTAAACCTGAAGGAAGCACAGTCTCAATATAGCTCTCCCTGACATTTCCAGAGCTCTTTCATACTCATTTCATTTTACCATGACCCTCCCCGAATTGCTACAAGATCATGAAGGAAATCTGGATCGCCATTTTATGGAGGCAATAAGTGGTCAAATAATTCGTCAAAATCGCAGGACGACTGCTGGCCTCGAACCACCAACAAACTGATACGCTGCCCAGCTCAGCCGCTGCTTTCTTTTTCCTGGAACCAGTTAAATATTAACCAACTCTTTTAGGGGACCCCAGCATATAAATAAATAAGAAACCTTTTAATACTTAACAATCAAATTATTACCTGTCTTTCCTAGGCAGAAAACAATACTATGGAACAAGGGTAAACAGCCCTTCTACAGATAACCTCAACAAATAAATGAAATCAATTCTGGAAGGCCTCTACCTGCCTGAGAATTCATTCCAGACCTCAAGGAGGCCAAGGGTAAGATTACTTTTTAATCTGAATAGAGGAACCTAAATAAACAACAAAGATAAAAGTCACTATTAAGACAAAGCCCTTTTCGGGACCAGCAGGTGACATGGTGGTTAAGGTGCTAGACACTCCCACATGGCCAACCATGGTTCGAGTCCTGGACTTGGTGGCTTGCTTTCTAGTTTCCCCCCTCTCTGTGTGTGTGTGTCTCTCTGGTCAAATTTAAATAAATTAATGAATAAATAAAATTAAATAATTACATTTTTTTAACAAAGCCCTTTTCAGTGAGGATTATATTAAAACACATAAACTAACCAGCAGAAGCCAAGGCCATAGTAGGTGTCCATGGTGCTGACGGAACCGAACACACTAAGAGTTGGGCAAGTATGAGGCAGCTATCTTCACCCACATCCCTAACGCCTCTTAGACAATCGATCACGCTTATACTCTCATTCGAGTCTGACTTTCTCTACGATAACAAGTTACATAACTGCCAGAAACCTCTTGGTTGCCGCCTTCTTCCTCCTCTTCTTTCTCGTCTTCCTCTGGTCCTTCCTCTTCCTCTTCTTCGTCTACCCCCTCTTCTCCATCCTCCTCGGACTCATCTGTCATCCCCTCCTCCTCCTCTTCCTCAAACCCATCTTCATTATCTAATTTAAACAATGCTTGGCGTTTCTGGCGCTCCTCAAGCCTGCGGAGTTTCATTGCCTCTTGCAGTTTAGCTTTTAGCACCTGGAGTTTTTCACCTGAACAGACATATGTGGAAATGGTTTAGACCAACAACCAACTACATTACCCAGTAATGTGCATTTTAGGCAATACTGTATGTTCTAGTCACACCCCAAAAGAAAAATCAGAGACAACAGTAGATTTTATTATTTCAACACAGGGGAATTATGAATTAAACTGTAAAAGAGAACTTCTATGCCCTGGGATAATATTACTCAGGGATTAAAAATAACTGTTTAAAAAGGAAAAAAACTGTGGGGTGAGGTAGGGCTTCAAAAATCTGGCACAGGTTCGGCTGTGGTGGCACATGTGGTCGGGCACTGCCATGTGATACTAGAGCCACATGGGAGGCTTGGGTCCAGATCTCAGATGCCTTGAACACACTGAGCCGGCCCATGCCTGGCTGTGATCCTGGCTGGCAGGGAGGCTGAGTGCAGGGTCATGGTATGGAGAGATCCCATGAAGGGTAGCACTCTGTCTCTCAAGAAATAAATAAATAAACATAAAATTGGCTCATCAGTCATGAAAAAAGCATTGATTATTGTGCCTATTAAAAAGAGAGGGGCAGGGACCAGCAGGTGGCGTGGTGGTTAAAGCGCTGGACACTCCCACATGGCTGACCACTGTTCAAGTCCTGGACCTGGTTGCTAACTCACTTAAAATAAATGAATAATTAAAATGAAAAAGAAAAAAAAAAAAAAAAAAAAAAAAAAAAAAAAAAAAAAAAAAAAAAAAAAAAAGGGGG